ACGACGACGACGATGACATCGACGACGACGACGACGACGACGACGACGACGACGACGACGACGACGACGACGACGACGACGACGACGACTACTACTACTACTACTACTACTACTACTACTACTACTGACCGACCGATCGGGCAGGAGGAGGAGAGGAAGCGAGGGAGGGGGGGGCGGGGATAGGGGAAGAGGCGGACGGGGGCGGAACGGGAGGGAGAAGAAAGGGGATCAGAGGGAGGAGGGGGAGTGGTGTGTGATGGGGGCGAAACATGGAGGATGAACAGGTATGTTTTGCTGTTTTGGACTAGTCTGTTTTCCCCGAAATCTGGACGGGAGACGCAACTAAAAGGAAGCGCGACGACCCCACCTACAGCGCCAAAGCCCCGTGAGTGACAAGGCCATGCAACCTCCTGAGGAAGGGGATCAAGAGGAGGAGGATAGGTTTCCTCCTTCCTACCTGTCATAGATACCAGCCAGCCAGGCAGCAGTGACCCCTGGAGCGGTGCTCCAGGGATCATCGGGCATTGAATTGATCACCCCCCGCACCGCCGACCGGCCCTGAGGGGGAGGGCGGCGTCGGCACGACTCTTTCGCCATCAACGTATAAACGTATCAGGAGGGGGGGGATCAGGAGGCGCGCGTGCGGGATGAAGGAAGCAGACGAGTAGCACGGGAAGGAGGAAGGGAAGCTGGCGAGGGGGAGGAGTATCAGGGTGACGAGAGCTACAAGCATAGCACTTGAAGTTTGCCTGGCGTAAAATAGAGGATCCGGGGGAGGAGGAGGAGGAGGAGGAGGAGGAGGAGGAGGGGCAGGAGGAGGAAAAGGAGGAGGAAAAGGAGGTCGAGGAAAAGGACGAGGAGGAGGACTTGCGACTTGCGGCTTGCGAAGCGCTGGGGGCCTGCGCAAAACGAAACGCGCTGCGGGCTGTGACCAGCAGGCTCGGTCAGTCCAAGTTGCAGAGACCCTGCGAGGCGTGAAACGCCCTATCCCAAAATGACTCCACACCAGCACCCTGCCGATGGGAAGGGCCTATTCAAGCCCCAACGGAAAACCCTGGGGGGGAAAAGCCCGTCGGGCGCCTGCGAACACAAAAAAACGAATGTGCTCAGAACGTTCCGGAAGACGCTTCCGGGATTAGTATAAAACCAGTCCGTGCTGCAACATCCTTCACAACATGAATGCGTCTCCGATCCGCTCTGCGACACCCCCCTCGATCGTCGGCCTCCTGGGTAGGCTCTTCGGCTCATCCCTTGGACCGGGGTCTGCGCCTCAGAGATCCGTTCACCCTCCCTCGCCGTCCCCCAAGCTCCCCTGCCGCCCCCGCCCGTTCCCCCTTTCCCGTCGAGACAAAGGCGTCACGGCTCGCGGCAAGAGGCGCAATCGCCCCACGCGCCAGCAGCTCCTGCAGGCGGACGCTAGACGCCAAAGCAGGCGGCATGAGACGACGCGTTCACGCTGCCACGTCCGAGCGGTAGAGCATGCGCTGCACCTCGCGCTCGAGCGCCCCCCCTGGGCGCGGCCCCGGCGATCTCCTCGGCCCCGACCTCCTGAAGCACTGCCTCGAGAATCTTCGTGAGCATCTGAGATGGCTCGTCCGCCCCCACGTGGAGCTGGAACTTCAATTTCCCCTATATCAATTTGGACATGGCTCCTTTCGGAGCTTTGGAAAAAAGTGGCGCACGTAGTGTAGCTGCGTGACTTGAACGAACTGCGTCACGAAGTCCTGGACGGGCTGCACCGCCTCGCCAGACGAGGCTCTCTGGATCGTCATCACCACAACGTACACAAAGAGGTGCGGCGACCCGAGAGATGCGAAGTCCATGGAGGCGTCCGTCTTCTTCAGCTCGCAAAGTTCCGCCGCCTTCATCTGGTTGGCCCCCATCCCTGCCTTCGCCAGGAAGCATTTCGAGGGCAATGAGATAGTGCGGAAGAGAACGCCCGACAAAAACGGCCACCTCGCGCGCGCTGGAGAGCGACAGCCTCGCCACTGTGTTGAGCATCCGCTGGTCGGCCGTCCCCTTGCCCTTCCCGCTGCCCTTGCCCAAGATGCCGTTCCCCGTGGCCCTGGTCTGCAGCGGAGGCTCGGCGGAGCGAGCCGCCTCCGCGTCCTCGCGGCGCTGGCGCATGGGCAGCACCCAGCCTGGGAAGTCCGTTCCGATGTCGAAGATGTCCGCGTCCACGATCACGTTCTGCCCCTCTGTCATGTTCACGGCCGCTGTGAAGTACTGGTCGATGCGTGCGCGCCCGAACCTTAGCAGGTTGGAAAAGAAGGTGCTCGCGGGCGTGCAGATGGTAGCTCTCCATGTCTGGCCAGACTGAGCCGCACACTTTACAAGATATCGATGTCGGGGACAAACTGGAGCCATCGTCGTTGCCTTGGACAGACACCGACCGTGGGCCAGAGCCCCGCTCAAGTGCTTGCATGCCGTTTCTTGTCCCAGAACGTCTCCTCACAAGCTACACACAGGTTCGCCACGATAAGCGCCTGCGACAAACGAACAGTGCCGTGCATGATGCGAGGAGGAGGAGGAGGAGGAGGAGGAGGAGGAGGAGGAGGAGGAGGAGGAGGAGGAGGAGGAGGAGGAGAGAGGCAGGAGGAACGGAGGTAGGAGGAAGGGAGGAGGAGGAGAAGGAGAAGGAAGGGAGGAACGGCCGCTGTTGAGGAAGAGGCGAACGGAACGGCCGCCGTTTGGCGTGCGCACTTCTTGGCGAACTGCTGGCTCCCAATCACTGTGCGCCGGGCCAAACGCGAGGGAAGGGGGGGAGGGGGGGAGCGTAGAGCTGACTTGAGATCCTTTGAAGATGGCGCGTTGCTTGCGACACGCACTGTCTGTGAGGTGCTGATCCGTACAACGCGTCGCACAAGTGCCCACGGCGAGGATCCGATACCCCCGCTCGCAGTCCCCTCTAGCCTAGCCAGAGGAATGAGGAGTGGGAATGAGTAGGGAGATGGAAGGAACATGATGAGACATACGGTAGGATGAGGAAGCACGAGGAGGAACAGGAAGAGATAGGACTAGGAGGGATGAGAGGAGGATGGGGAAGGGGAGTACAAGAAAGGAGTGGGAAGGAAGAGGACGGAGATGAATGGAGGAAGAGCGGGACGGAGAAGGGAGGGGGAGGACGAGGAAGAATCGATGAGGGCGCAGATGACAAGATGAGGACTGAGAGGTCGAGGAGGAACTAACTGCACACGACCTCAGGGAGACGCGGGGGCCATCAGAGGTGCGGCCAAGGAGTCGGAGTCCGCGCCCGGCGCTGCCACCTCGACGCAAGTCCTGGCGCCCCTGCGGCGGAAGCATCCCAACTGGTAGCACACGCCCGCGAGGAAGAGAACGGCCCACCCGACAAAGCCGATCGCCCGGTCAAGCTGGACCTCGCGGTGCCTGAGCATGAGGGAAGCAACTCCTGAGGGAAACGGGCCCTGTGACCTGGGGCCTTCCCTCAAGACGAGATCTTCATCCTGAGTGGTTTTCTGACAGTCCCGGGGCCTGCGGGGGGCCCCGAAGGCCCCCATAACGTTGAAACCTCAGTGCCCGCCTCCCTCAGGACCAGTTTGCCCCATGGCGAGGCGCCACAGCTCGTAGTGGTACCTGCGGTCGGCGAAGAGGCCAACGTCTGGAGCGGTGGGCGACCACAGCAGAGCCAGGAAGCACCGCCAGTCGCCGAAGGCCGCGCCGCGCACCCTCTGCCTCAGCAGCATGGTGGCCAGGTACGACGTGGAGCTTACGACCAAGGAGGCGCCGAGGAAAGGGCACAGATATCGGGGGGGACGAAAGGAGGGTATAGCAAGGGGTTGGGAAGATAATCAGCTCACGTAGCTGGTTTTCCTGGCGCCCCCTGGCGCCAGGAGGCGCCTGTGTATCGAGGAATGGGCCCGGCGGGGGGGGCCGAAACGAGCTGCATGTAGCAGATTTCTTGGCAACCCCTTTCCCTATCCTACACTTTCGCTCCGCCCGCAGATAGACGAGGCAGTGCACGTATAACGCCTCGGGTGTACCCAAAGCTTTGGTACAGGGTCCAACTTGGCTTCGAAGGGGGGCTCGATGTCCCATAGGTCCTTCATGGAGTTCTCCTGCGCAGATCGTTGGACATCTGGGCACAACAGAGGCCCCGAATATAAACCCATCAGCTCCCTGGGCGTAGGATGTATCAGGGATCATGAACTTCCTATTCCAATGCACTTTGACTTCCCTACTCGGGCAGTGGTTTACCCGTCCCCCCTCCTCTCGTTGGCAGTCTAGCGGGAAGGGGCCCGATGGATCAGGGTGCCCCCAATGGCAAAAGATAGCTCCGAGATGGCCCCAGATGCTCTAAGATGGCCTCCAAGACACCACAATATAGCCTAACATGTCTCGAGATAGCTTACGACATACCTCCGAGATGCCCCAAAACGGCTATGAGAACCCCCTGAGCCCCATAAAGACATCAGCAAGAGGCCAAAACTACTCAAAACGGCACTCGCGACATCTGGGACCGAGGTGTGACTGGGGGAGAGCATCGCGTCGGAGGAAAAGGGTGGAGAACAACAAAACATCGTTTAGCTCAGCTGATCAACTAACGTAGCTGGTCTTCCCGGCGCCTCTCAGCGCTTTAGTATCGAGGAAAGCGCCCGGCGGCGGGGCCGAAACCAGCTGCACGCTGAAGAATTCGTACACCCTTGTAGTTGCGCGGTAATGCACTCCATGTTGAACATGAATTATCAACTCTGTGTCGCTATATGCTTAATTGCGAACCGCGTCTACATCGCAGAACGTGGGTGGGGGTGGGGGTGCTAGGCGACCTCCCAAACCGACCCATAGGTTTGGTTCGGTGTCGCATATCACGCAAAGACTTCTGTCCGACACGCGAGGAAGAAGAAGCACTGGCATCTCGATCCCGAGGTGGATGTCACGCATTCGGCTTGCCACCGGGCCCGCCTTCGGATGCCCGTCGGCCGATGGATCGACGGGCTTCGGCACGACCAGGAACACGAAGCACGCGATGACGACTGTGTACAGAATAACCGAGCGAGGAGATGGAGGAAGACTTTAAGCCGAAGTAGTGGGTCTGGTGCCGCTGGGTCCAGGGGGAAGTGTGCAATGGTACTTTCAATATCTTTTATCACACACTCACACACTAGTTATTGCCCGTGCAGTGGTTCCCCCCCCCGCACTACAGCCGAATCATGCGCCAAGACCCATTACTCCAACTTAAAAGAACCCAGACCTCGACGGCCTGACATTTTCATGACGTGGCCTCCCGAGGTCTCGCACTGCTCCCTGGGACGGGCTTTTCATCACGAGCTGTTCCGTGATGGCCCCAGGATTCGCTAAGGGCCAACAGCACCAGGACAACAGCAACAACCGTCCGTTGTGTTGATGCAAGACACAAGTGGGCCAGGGGAGGAGAAGCCACGTGAGCGACGAAATGAAAAGGGTCTTAGGCGAGATGACATAGCGACCTTACGCGGTGGCTTCCGCGGGCCGCCAGCGCTGCACGCTTCATTGGAAACGGGCGCCTGCGCGCGACCTTACGCGGGCAGCTTACGCTCGAATGTCGGCGCAATTGGACCTGTTGTCCTGCCTCGCTCACGTGTTCGACCATGGCCTCCCCGCTACTCAACACGTCCCCGGCGTGCCCAGACGCAGGGCCCCCCCGCGGTTTGTGGCGGCAGTCTCCCCGAAAACCTGGACGCATGCGTCCTGCACGGGGGCCAGTGTTCAAGAACACAACACGAGGACGATGGCTTTTGAATTCCAAAAATCAGGGCCGAGAAAGAAGAGACCAATCCTCCTCCACATGTGATGTTGGGCTGAGCAGCGCACCGCGGCGCTCACGCCTGATAGGAAAAATAGGATTTCCGAGCGCGATGGATTCACTTCTCCCTCCCAGACTTCGGCAAGGGGACTGCGTTAGCTTTGGTGATCTTGCCATACACTGCAGCGCAACCAGATCAGAAGGATGCACGGCAACGACATAAGAGCCCTGGACGCCCAGATTGAAGCCGAAGCTGGAAACCCATGACCCACGGGCAACGGTTATGGGCATGGGCCGAAAGATACGGATGCAATAGAGGCCTCCCACATGGGGTCCGAACAAATGGGGCCAGAGGATCGCTCCGCATCACCAGTGCATCGGCGACGTCGGCGATGCATCGGCACCATCGGCGTGGAGAAATGCGGGCTCCACATCGAGCCCCCTCTACTTCGACCCCATCTGGAGGCCTAGATGCAAGGGCAACCGCTGGAAATGTGCTCTTCCCTACGATCCGATTCGCCTGCGGGCAGCGTGACGACGTTGCGCATCGCCGCGCCTGTCAGCTCCAAGCAGCACGGGACGGGGTGCTCGCACCGCCGTGCCCGGCGGCACCGGAATACCCACTACTGCCCACCATGGCCTCTGACCTACAACCTCGGCACGGTGGCGGGATGGCGCCCGACTTTGGCGCGACCTGTTGCGCGGCTAGAAACCATGGCATTGCAAACGCGAGGCCGGCGCGACGCACGGGTTGGGGCCATTGAAGAGGTGAGCTCCGATAGATCTTGTACGGATCCCATAAACTAAAAATACAAAACCCGGGGGCGTACACAACACGTTCTAAGCATGTGACATGTCTACCTAGGACCTGTCAGTACATACGAACATACTGAAAGACCCGCGGTATGCAAATCGCGGTCCCAGGGGACAGCGAGGTATAGTTGTGATCCGCGTACGACACCTCTCCACTGGGCCTCCCAGGTGCCCAACGAACGCGGCGACAGTTTCGCAGACCGCAGCCCCCCAGAAGACGGCGAGGTATAGTTGTGATCCGCATGAGACACCCCTCCGCTGGGCCTCCCAGGTGCCCACGAAAATGGCGACTGTGTCGCAGATCGCAGCCACCCCCAGGGGAGGCGAGATCTCGTGGTGATCCCTGTAAGACGTACGTACCTCCGCTAGGCCTCCCAGGAACCCACGAACATGGCGACTGTTTCGCAGATCGCAGCCCCTCCCAGGGGACGGCGAGGTCTCCTGGTGATACCCGTAAGGCGTACCTCCTCTGGACCTCCCAAGAGCACAAGAAAGTGGCGACAGCTTCGCAGATCGCAGCCCCCTAGGGAACAGCGAGGTCTCGTGGTGATCACCGTGAGGCGTACCTCCGCTCGACCTCCCACGGCTCAACGAAAGTGGCGACAACTTCGCAGATCGCAGCCCCCCAGGGGACAGCGAGGTCTCGTGGTGATCCCCGTAAGACGTACCTTTGCTCGACCTCTCTGGAGCTCACGAAAGTGGCGACAACTTCGCAGATCGCAGCGCCCCAGGGGAAGGCGAGGTCTCGTGGTGATCACCGTAAGGCGTACCTCCGCTGGACCTCCCGGGATCCCACGAAATTGGTGACACTTGGGCAGACCGCAGCCCCTCCCATGGGGATGGCGAGATCTCGTGGTGATCCCCGCTAAACGTACCTCCCTTGGACCTCCCAGGAGCTCACGAAAATGGCGACAACTTTGCAGATCGCAGCCCCCCAGGAGGCAGCGAGGTCTCGCAGTGACCCTCGTAAGACGTACCTCCGCTGGACCTCCCAGGAGCCCAGGAAAGTGCTGAAAGCTTTGCAGATCGCAGCCCCCCCAAGGGACTCTTGGTCTCGTGGTGATCACCGTAAGACGTACCTCCGCTGGACCTCCCGGGATCCCACGAAATTGGTGACACTTGGGCAGATCGCAGCCCCTCCCAGGGGACGGCGAGATCTCGTGGTGATCCCCGTAAGGCGTACCTCCGCTGGACCTCCCGGGATCCAACGAAAGTGGCGACAACTTCGCAGATCGCAGCCCCCCAGGGGACGGCGAGGTCTCGTGGTGATCCCTGTAAGACCCACCTCCGCTGGACCTCCCAGGAGCACAAGAAAGTGGCGACAGCTTCGCAGATCGCAGCCTCCCCGGGGGACGGCGAGGTCTCGTGGCGATCCCCGTAAGAGTCGCCTCTGCTGGACCCCCCAGGAGCCCACGAAAGTGGCGACAGCTTCGCAGATCGCAGCGCCCCAGGGGACGGCGAGGTCTCGTGGTGAGCACTGTAAGACGTACCTCCGCTGGACCTCCCAGGACCGCACGAAAGTGACGACGGCTTCGCAGATCGCAGCCCCCCAGGGGACGGCGAGGTCTCAATCCATGTAAGACGTACCTCCGCTGGACCTCCCAGGAGCACAAGAAAGTGGCGACAGCTTCGCAGATCGCAGCCTCCCCAGGGGACGGCGAGGTCTCGTGATCCCCGTAAGAGTCACCTCCAGCCAACAAAAATGGCGACAACTTCGCAGATCGCAGCCCCCCAAATGACGGCAAGGTCTTGTGGTAATCACCGTAAGACGCACCTCCGCAGGACCTCCCGGGAGCCCACGATAGTGGCGACAACTTCGCAGATCGCAGCCCCTCCCAGGGGACGGCGAGGTCTCGTAGTGATCACCGTAAGGCGTACCTCCGCTGGACCTCCCAGGAGCCAACGAAAGTGGCGACAACTTCGCAGATCGAAGCGCCCCCAAAGGGACGGCGAGGTCTCGTGGTGATCACCGTAAAACGTACCCCGCTGGCGCTTCCAGGAGCCCACGAAACCGGCAACAGCTTCGCAGATCGCAGCCCCCCAGGGGACGGCGAGGTCTCGTGGTGATCCCCGCAAGGCGCACCTTCGCCGGACCTCTGGGGAGCCCACGAATGTGGCGACAACTTCGCAGATCACTGCCCCCCAGGAAACATCGAGGTCTCGTGGTGATCACCGTAAGGCGTACCTCCGCTGGAGCTCCCAGGAGCCAACGAAAGTGGCGACAACTTCGCAGATCGCAGCGCCCCAAGGGACGGCGAGGTCTCGTGGTGATCACCGTAAGACGTACCTCCGCTGGCGCTCCCAGAAGCCCACGAAAGTGGCAACAACTTCGCAGATCGCAGCCCCCCAGGGGACGGCGAGGTCTCGTGGTGATCACCGTAAGGCGTACCTCCGCTGGACCTCCCAGGAACCCACGAAAGTGGCAACAGCTTCGCAAATCGCAGCCCCCCCAAGGACGGTGAGGTCTCGTGGTGATCCCCGTGAGACGTACATCCGCTGGACCTCCCGGGAGCCCACGAAAGTGGCGACAACTTCGCAGATCGCAGCCTCCCCCAGGGGACGGCGAGGTCTCGTAGTGATCACCGTAAGGCGTACCTCCGCTGGACCTCCCAGGAGCCCAGGAAAGTGCTGAAAGCTTCGCAGATCGCAAAGTCCCAGGAGACGGCGAGGTCTCGTGGTGATCCGCGTAAGACGTACCTCCGCTGGACCTCCCAGGAGCCCACGAAAGTGGTGACACTTGGGCAGATCGCAGCCCCTCCCATGGGGATGGCGAGATCTCGTGGTGATCCCCGCTAAACGTACCTCCCTTGGACCTCCCGGGATCCCACGAAAATGGCGACAGCTTTGCAGATCGCAGCCCCCCAGGAGGCAGCGAGGTCTCGCAGTGACCCTCGTAAGACGTACCTCCGCTGGACCTCCCAGGAGCCCAGGAAAGTGCTGAAAGCTTCGCAGATCGCAGCCCCCCCAAGGGACGGCGAGGTCTCGTGGTGATCACCGTAAGACGTACCTCCGCTGGACCTCCCGGGATCCCACGAAATTGGTGACACTTGGGCAGATCGCAGCCCCTCCCATGGGGATGGCGAGATCTCGTTGCGGTCACCGTGAGGCGTACCTCCGCTGGACCTCCCAGGAGCCAACGAAAGTGACGACGGCTTCGCACATCGCAGCCCCCGAAGGTGCGGCGAGGTCTCGTGGTGATCCGCGCAAGACGTCACTGCGCTGGCTCTCCCAGAAGCCCACGAAAGTGGCGACAACTTTGAAGATCGCAGCCCCCCAGGGGACGGCGAGGTCTCGTGGTGATCACCGTAAGGCGTACCTCCGCTGGACCTCCCAGGAGCCCACGAAAATTGTGACAACTTCGCAGATCGCAGCGTCCCAAGGGACGGCGAGGTCTCGTGGTGATCCGCGTAAGACGTCACTCCGCTGGCCCTCACAGAAGCCCACGAA